TTTCTTAATGAAAAACTATCTGCATGTATCTGTAGAAGGGCTTTTACAAAAAGGTGCTTTTTAAAATTATTTTTTGTTTTGTCATTCCTCCCTTACCTCTCTATGGGGTCCATAGTGAGCCCTGGAGTTAGATCCTATCTTTCTTACTTCATGAGCAAGTAGAACCCAATGGTTATTGTTTTAATTAATTCTGTAGACTCAAAGGTTGGCCTGAAATAATCAGCAGAAAAGCAGTTAGGGAAACATAAGCATTTTGATGTATTGTTTGTTCGCATGATTCCCAGTGCTGAACTAACACAGTGCTGCCCATGTCTCATTTGCTCTTAGTTATTATGTTGTGGTTCTTAAGGTAAGTCATAGCTAGTTTCTTATCATGGCTTAATATCACTGTGCCCCACTTGAGCTGTGATAACTGTCCTTGTGGTTGCTCTTAACCTACAAAAAGCATGCAAAATAATTTGACTGGACAGCGCTAAACCAAATTATCTTACATCTGTCGTAGTTCAAAACCCCCACACTGAGTCCCCACAGCTCAGTTAACGTGTTGTAACTTGCGTTATATAGAATGTAACGTCACTCTTTGCCTCTGAACTTCAAATTATTTTCTTTTTTGTGGCTGGTGAACCCCAAATCCCGTCTGTCCTACGTGTGCTATGCCGTAGAAGGTTTGGGTGCTCGCTTTCACATTTTTGCAAGTCAGGGTATCAGTCATATTCACCAATATACATTTATGGTCTACCCATAATCTATGTTATGCTCTTATACGAGATTGGGGTAAGACAGCACTGATGTGGTTGCAATTACTTGGTGAGATGATTATTCTAGTATTACAGCAATTGCGTGATCAATATCACCAGGCTACAACAGAACGTAACTCGGGTACAAATGCATTTCCAAATTCACAAACTCTCCAAGTCTCCGTTGAGATTTGTTTTCTAACGCCTCTGATTATTTACACAGGCACAGAAATTCTGATGAAGAAAACAAACTGAAAAGATAATCCTATGTGGAAAAAGTAGCTGGTATGTTCACAGGAGGTTATCGTCATTGCTTAAATATTTAATGGTTTTCCCCTCATGCTTTTAAACTGAACTTTTGCCCTGGTTAATCTAGGGGTTCTTACATCAAGCAGGCTGTTTCTCGAGATTTTGCTCTTTAAAATGAAAGTCACCACTGAATTCACAAGTGTCCATTTTAGATACAGTTCCCAATTACTTTATAGTAATAGTATATACAGTAATTGTGTGTCTATAGTAATATATAATGTATACAATAGTAATGTATACTTACATTTACATTAGCCCCAGTAAACAGCTAGTTGTAAACCGGCCAGTTTGACTTGTGAAAAATAAGATAAATTTACAAATCAATGACAGTATAACAATCTGGAGCACATCAGTCGTTTAGGCTCCAATTCTGCTTCCGCTCCAATATTAACTTTTAAATGTGGGTAAGAGGACAGTGAGAAGTCTTGCAGATGGAACTCGGATCAACCTCTACTTCAAATCAGCTGTGCTTCTGAACACGAAGAGCTGGATGGAGTGTCCATGCCCCGTGTCCTGTGGGAAGAAGGAATAAGTACCTTCTGCAGAAAGAGAAAGCACTCGTTTCATTATTTGGAAAGGACCAATTCTCATGATGTTTGTGGTAGTGATTTACTTGGTAGTGCATAAAGAGTTGTGTTCTGATTTATAAAGAGAGATGCGAGTTCCATTTAAGGAGCAGGACTCTTAGGAAACACCAGTGTGCTTCCCTGAACACAATCGGATCGGCTTTATTTTCTTTTTTTTTTTTTTTAACAAACACCTTATATCACATTTTTCCAGTAACATATATGTTCCAATATGTATCCAAGTCTTTCGAAGGGTGAAGCTGCTATACAGACTTTCTGATCAGACCGTTCCATTTACAGGCAGTATTTTGTGAAAAGAATGAAGCTCTAGAATACCGCTTTTTAGGATTTCTATGAGGCTGCTCTGCCATACCTCAGGTCAGACTGCAAAAACAGACTGAAAATCCTGCAGTTGGCTTTTCTATTTGGGCCACTAAGTTAAGAATTAAAGTAGAAGGGAAGAAAAATGTCCTTTTTTCCATAACCGTTCATACGAACTTAGCAAGGCACATGTTGGCCTCACTCCTTGAATGTGGAAGCTTGAGCAGAAGTTTCTGTTCTTTTTTTTTTTTTTTTTTTATGACTTCTGTAACTACCCAGTTAAATATAAGCAACAGAGAAAGCTTTGTAACTTCAGCAGGTGAGCCCGAACGACCTTGCCCAGAACATCCCTTTTGTCTTCCAGTAAACACCAGTGGCAAAAAAAAAAAATGCCGTGTGAGTCTGCTTTCAGCCTGGCATCAACTGCGCCGCTGCCGTGTGAACACTGAGCTTACCTAAGAGAAAGCACCGATGCCCTGTTCACAGATCATTAATACTTTCTTTGTTTAAAAATTTTTTAGAAGTCATTCCATCAAAACGATGAATAGTCCCCTCAAGTAGCCGAATTCTTGAAGAATGACTGAGGTTTAAAATGTAGCTTCCCCAGCCCCAAACCAAAGGACAGCCTTCCGAGCAGCTTGTGTGGGTACAAAGTAAGCTCACCTCACAAAAATCCAATAAATGACTTTATTAAATATATTCTTTTCCTCTAAAATATAAATATTCACTATACTCTTATAAATGTGGAGTAGGTCTGTATTTCATTTGCCTATCCCATCCAAATATGAATCAGTCCAAAATCTGAAAATGAAGAAATAGCATCTGTAATTATTTTTTCTATAAATATATATAATACGAATTTTCTTTGCAAACTGTTTAGTTATTCACTTATACTTCATATAGTACTGAGCACCTTAGATTACATAGTTTCATTTAATTGTTGGTACTAATATAGGAATTTGTCATATTTACAATGCACATACATGTTAGGTATAACATTCCAGTGATTTGTAAGTGTTAAAGGACTAAGGAAATAGTGCAGTATAGTTTACGTATGTATTTAACCTACCCCACAGTATCCAAGTTTTCACTTTAACCTCTGGAACTTTTATAGGAGCCTGCATCCAGATTTTTAAGTTATATTTTGGAACAGCAATAAAAGTGTCCTGAATCGCTTTATAGAATCTTCACACAACATTTTACTTGATGATGTGATGTGAGTTCATGCTCAGCGCCCCAGTCCCCCAGCGTACCGACTGCCCTCAGCTTCTCAGAAGATGTTCTCCTAGAAGCTTCCAAGCCAAAGGAGATCCAAGGAACTGCGAGTTATGTGAAGAGCAGTGGTCGCTAAATGAGAAATAATGCATGTGGGAATTACTGGTAAGTTATGTAACCTGTTATCTCCTACCTTATGAATTTACAAGAGGAATTAATTTTTAATTGCGAGTACCGTGACAGTAAAAATAAAGTTCACCGCAAGGTGAATCCCCTCCCAGGCTTGCTTTTGACTGGTGAGGTGCTGGGAGTGGGGCTACTCTTCCAAATGGCAATTTAGCTGTTGTTCTTCAATGATTATTTTCTGTATTTGCAAATTCAGCCCATCATCTTAATTTTTTAATTAGCTTCGATGATTAAGATACCTATGGAAACCACCACGAACTAATTCCTATGCTGTGAATAAACAGCATGTCTTATGCTTAACTCTCAAGACTTAGCTTAAAAACAACGTGGAACCAAACTGTGTTTTTAATTTTCCTCTTTGCCAGCCAAGTGATGCTAAGTTGAAACTTACGTGCTTTCTCAAGAATAAAAGAAGTGGTGTAATACGACAAGTGAGCTTCCACAAACTTTGGATTTATTACTTCCTGTACAGTTGCTGTCCTTCAAAGTGTGACTTTAGGGCAAAACTCTAAAAGCAAACAAAACCCCACCCCTGTACGAAGCAGTTCTCTTTACAAAGTATGAGCAACGTAAATGCCATCACTCCTCTGCTGCTTTCTGTTCCCACCCGACCACATTCAGCCAATTTAGTAGTTCCAGGTGCGAGCTGCGGGTCTGGTCTCTGATGGTGAAGGTTGGCCTTCCTGCCTCCTGCCTGCTTAGTGCCCAGCGTAACTGTGAACAACGCTGAAACTCGGGGATTCGCATGTTTTGACTTAAAACAGTCAGCTGTGGTGCAAAACAGGAACTAGTAAGTTACGGGTACGGAGGTGAATGTCTTATGTTTCACCAGCAAGGAATAAATCTGGACTCACCACGTCATGCACGGAGGAGCAGTTCCTTTCATATTAAGGCTTTTCTGGCAGTGCAGCTTGTGTTCCTGCACCCTTGTATTTCCTCACTGTTGTGGAGCTCCTTGAATAACTTTTCTGATCTAACCTAGAAAACTCTCAAAAAATCAACTCTTCCTCCTTCCAAACGTTTGTTCTTCTGTGAAGACCACACAACCAGCCTGGTCAGAGCTGAGGGGGTGACACAGCAGGGGCAGGAGGACAGGAAGCTCAGCATGGCTTTCTGTTGGAAAACTGCCATGGAAACGTGCTGGCAGAAGCTTAGCTTGTGCTTCAACATGGATTCAGGTATCTTTTACCTGAGCTGGGGATCCCGGGTAGCTGCAACTCATTAAGCCACTCTGGGAAGTCACTATAAAAATAGATCCTGTGTGTTCAGTAATAAAGGACGCTCCTGCCTACGCCCCCCTGACAGCCGGCGCTCAATACATCACTACAGCTGGTCTTGCTCTGCGTCCATCACTAGGAATGTATCTAAGATGTCTTTATCATTTAATTTGAAAGTGCCCCTCGGCAGGGACCCTCCAGCTGCTCACTGACCACAACTGTATTGCTTTAGAGTACCCGACTCAAAAGTGCGTATTTGCATGCTCTGCTGGGTATTCAAGCAACAGGTTCTGATGGTGCCCCAAAAGAAAAATCTCTTCTGTAAGTGCTGCACAGGTTAGCACAGAAGAAATATTTTACTTTCAGGTGGTGGGACAGTCTTGTTTGGAGAACTTCTACTCAACCAACCTTGAGCCTGCATCACAACCAACACCCCCTCTTGTCTGCTTAGCCCTTTACTTATTCTATATAAACAAGTACATTGAAATAGGCACAATTTATGATTCTGAAACATTTACATGTGTGGTACTACACGTTTTTTCTGTCTCATATGGGATTTTAAAATCCCATTATTTACAATGAAATCCACCGTTTTCCTTGTCATGCCACCTCTTTAGCTGATCAAAATGAAACCTGGGCCTTGGAAGACTGCAGAAATGACCCGGGCCCAGTACTGAACCCCAAACCGGTGTATGCTGTGAGCTGGTACAGGTTGCTGCTGTTGACTGTACTTCAGATTAGCACGGTGACTCCGTCTTTCTTTGAAGAAACAGATGTATCCCACTTATGCCACCAAGCCAAGTCTTGTAATCTTTGCCGACAGGAAGGAATGAATGATGAACACAATTGGTTTTGGACAGGAATGAAGGTCCAGTTGCTGAAAGTACAGAAAGAAATCAAGTTGAGAATGATTAGGTTAGATTACAGCTCAAATAAGCAATCATTTATGGAGTACTTGATTTGCTGCCTGGTATTTTCAACAGACTTCTATTAATAACAACCCTTTATTACAACGTATTGTCTTTTCTTTGCATACAGCTGCAAATATTTAAGTTACTAAAAAGTAAGTAATAAGCATCTTGAGAGCAGATGAGATCCTGGTGCCTCTGGGCTTGCATCCACCTGGGTAAGCAGCAGAAGACTGAGCCAGATGCTGCAAACAGTTTTCCAAGAGGTTCGACCTCACCATCTTTTCGGGCTCTGTTTCTGACCAGGGATGGTGGTGGCACTGCAGTGTGCAATAAATCTGTTGTTGGTCACTGCTGAAGCCAGGATACTGCACCTTCAGCTGATGCTGCGCGGTTGCTCCTCTGTTCACAGAGGTGGCAGCGAGACTGAACGGAGACTTTTTTCCACAGTCACGATTCAGATAATCTCACCGCACGCTTGCTAAGCATGATAGACTTGTCAGTGTGGGCAGCAGGTTCAACACTAGGTTCACCACCAAAACAAAACAGATTTGCCTTTCCATCAGTCATGCATCAACCTTACTGAGAGCTACTAACAAATTCCCTTTGGAAAGCCTGACAATAAGCAGTTTGCAGAGTGTATGTTATCAAAGGTGATGTGAAGAATTAAGCACTCCATGTGCTCAGGAACTGCTGAAAAAATCTGGCAGGAAAGATCATGTTAACATGCATAATTTATGGTAACTAAACTGCTTGTAGGAATAAGCACCTTATTTTTAGACATTGTGACAGCTAACTTAGAGGCCTAAGCAGACAGTTTGCACTACATCTGTAGTCTTCCATTTTTTTTCAGCAACTAGATGTTAAAAGATGTCTAAAACATAGCTTGTTGTCATAACATAAAGTCCCTGTGTGTCCATTGGAATTAATACTATCTCATTCTTAAGTTCTTCCATCTGCAATAATTTAAAAAGTGAAATGAATACATATAAAAATCTGGCTATGTAAACAACAATTTGTTCTTCTATTTAAAAAAACTTTCATCCCTCTTTGCATGGTTTTACCACTTTATCTCTCTTTTAAGTTTATCTCATTCTAAAGCCAGATTGCAATCCCAAGCACAAATACAGGCTGGGTGGAGAATGGTTCGAGAGCAGCCCTGAGGAGAAGGCCTTGGGGGTGTTGGTTGATGAGAAGCTCAACATGACCCGGCAACATGAGCTCGCAGCCGTGAAAGCCAACCATATCCTGGGCTGCACCAAAAGAAATGTGGCCAGCAGGTTGAGGGAGGTGGTTCTGCCCCTCTCCTCTGCTCTCGTGAGACCCCACCTGGAGTACTGCGTCCAGCTCTGGAGTCCCCAACATAAGAAGGACATGGTCCTGTTGGAGTGAGTCCAGAGGAGGGCCATGAAGATGATCAGGGGGCTGGAGCACCTCTCCTACGAGGAGACGGTGAGAGAGTTAGGGCTGTTCAGCCTGGAGAAGAGAAGGCTCCGGGGAGACCTTATAGCAGCTTTCCAGCATCTGAAGGGCGCCTACAAGAAAGCTGGAGAAGGACTTTTTACTAGGGCATGTAGTGATAGGACGAGGGACAATGGTTTCAAACTGGAAGAGGATAGATTTAGATTAGATATTAGGAAGAAATTTTTCACTCTGAGGGTGGTGAAGCACTGGAACGGTTTGCCCAGAGAAGCTGTGGATGCTCCATCCCTGGAGGTGTTCAAGGCCAGGCTGGATGTGGCCTTGGGCAACCTGGTCTAGTGGGAGGTGTCCCATGGCAGGGGGGTTGGAACTAGATGATCTTTAAGGTCCCCTCCAACCTAAGCCGTTCTATGATAGGCATGCTGAACTAGAAAGCACAGTGTCTAAATACTGCTACTGGAACCTGGTACTGTCCAGCTATTATTAGAATAGAATAATTTCAGCTGGAAGGGACCTAGAACGATCATCTAGCCTAACTTCCATTAGTGCTTCTCCACCCCCACAGCCTGAAGGACCACCAAAGAGATGGTAATGTGCATCTCTGCTAAATGCAGTACTTACAATTTCTCCATCCTTTCCTCCAAAGTCTAAATAAAGCATCCTTATCCCATCATCTGAGGACATTTTCAGTTTTTCGTAGGGATATTGTGCAATTGTCTTAGAGAAGGCACCATCTTGCGGTTCGGTTGTAAGAGAGAATCCATGCTCATAATGGATGGTCAGGCGGCACTCCTGGCTTTTATATGTGCAAGCTGAAGAAGGAAACAAAATTAAGACTTTAACACTCTTAAAAGCAACAACTTCCATTTGGCTGCAGATATCCACATCTCACATTTCTTCTCAACAGCATCTTGTGGAAACTAATCTTTCCTGAAAGTGGGCTAATCATGCTCTAACTGTAAACCTGCAGATTTGGAAAACCACCAGAAGCCGTTCTGTTGTGCAATGTCCAAGCAAGGATTATTAGTTATGGTGTAAACACACGGACTAAAATGGTGCTCAGCGGTAACAAAATTGATGTCAGTCCTTTCAGTTATTCACTGCTGTCTTCATACTGCAGCATACATCCACATGCCGACAAAAAAACAATCCACTGAAGTTTAAGAAGGCTCAGGCTGGCATTTCCTCCTTCCAAACCTTCACAAAGTCACAGCTACTCTTCTTACGTCTGACATACACAGCCAAAATCAATAAACGCAGCGCACAACGCGCAAGAAAATTAAACGCTGTAAAGGACTTCCCTAGAGTATTTTGACAAAGATGAAGATGCCCCTGAGTCCTCGTTAGTGTTGTGGTAATTGAAAAAGGGCCCAGATGATTGTACATGATAGCTACTGCAGCAGGAAATCTGCGTCTTCCCCTCTGCTCAGAAACATAGGCCAAGATCCAAATTAAAAAATTAAAAGAGTTTAGGTGTTCGCATCCCAAATTCCCTTTTCCAACAAATTCATGTGAACAATTCTGCCGAGAAGGAACCTCAGCAGTGGGATAAAAGCACTGCAATAAAAGAAGGGGCTGATGCCCTCCTGGTTTTGGAAAGAGAGTCATCAACATAACCAGGCTGAGGAGATGGACATGCCTTCAGGGTGGTTCCCACTGAAGATCCTGGTTGGTTTCCATGTCGGAGACCCTCGCAAAGCAGCCTGGGCTCCCTGCGAGTCACAGGTCAGGACAGGCTTCCCCGTGCTCAGCAGCACGTGGCTGTACCTACCCGATGGCTTCAGGAACTCCACTTTTGTCGTGGAGTGGATTTGTACTTTGGCTCTTGCTCTCACATTTTTAGGCAATAACGGGAGATAATACTGAATTTTAACAGCCCTGTCAACTGGAGAGTTAGTGGGGGAAGGACTCCCAAATTCTGGGGGTACTCAGGAAAAAGGTGCAGCCTCAAAGCCCCGGAGCCACCCCAGGCTAGCAGCTACCTGGCCAAGCGGGGCATCACTCCAGAACATCTGCAGCCGACCACTTTTGTTCCAGCTGATTTTGCATGTAGCGAAGTGCTGAAAAGTGACACCCTGATGTTCAGGGAGGGAAATGACTAGCTGTCAAAATGTGGGTATTGGACTAGTTTGTATCTTTTTTATTCTCACCATTTATTCTGGGTGAATAAATGACCAATTCACGCTTGTGAACGTGTCAATCCTCCTCTGCCTCCTCCCTCTGCAGGAGAAACTCCTGCCAGGCTCTCAGGGGTCTCCCAAGCCTCAGAAAAATGCTCTTTTCTGTGGGTTTCTCTGACAATTGCTCCTCCACGACACACAGCCCTACATGGCTGATTACAGACCTGTTTCTGAAACAACGTGCTAAAAACAAGATCAAAATTCAGAATGAAAGCAACTGTGTCACTGGCCACAGCTACCACACCAGCTGTGACTGGCTCAGAAACCAAGGGGGCAATATGTTATACCCATAGAACCCTAAATGCGTACATTTTTTGAAATGAATCACCTCTAGCCGAAGGAACTTGAACTACCCGTGAGTGTCACGAGGAGGTGTAGACCCGCGGCGCCGCAGGTGGTACTCACATGTGGTGATTTCCGTGATGAGCTCCGCAGAATTGTGGCAGCCCTGCACTACGCTCCTCGTCCACAGTGAGAGGTCTCGGCTAGTCTCCGTCCTGAACAGATGGGTTTCGATCCCTTGCCTTGTACCGGTACGGGTTGCAAAAGACAAATCCACCCCAGACTGCGGTGAGCCTTTTCCTGGGCCAGAATGGACCAACCTGCAATTGGATTTGAAAACACATCAGGGAACTATAAGGCTGACGCAGTGCACTGTGCCAAATTCCCCACCTGACCACAGCTCTGCTCTGTATGTTCCTAAATGCACATGGTTGGGAGCACGAGAACTCGCATCTCCTCTGTATTTGAGACTAAAGTGACTCCTAGTGACATGCAGAAGAGGGAAGGTCCAAAGCAGCGAGTACTGAAGCAGCCAAACATGCAGGTGATGATGGGGGTGTCCCAGAGGGCCCTAAATTCCTAACGAATTGTAGAAAACACCCATTTGTATGAGCAAAATAAATGATGGGTCTGTTGTGACGGGGTTTGGTGCACAGATAGAAGTCCTCGCTCGGATGAGGCAGCTGAATCTGACTTTCACCATCAGGCTGCAGTTGCCATAAAGCTTAAATGTCTGCAGACAAACTCAACGATAAATGCTGTCCGATAAAGTAATTAGTTCTGTAAAATATGCAGTTTCCCAAGTACTGTCTTGCGCATACTTCTCCCATAAAGAACCTGCAACACGCAAAATGCTGCAGCTATTTGCAATCTGAAATTCTCTCACATTTTGCTGCAATTAATGTGGGGTTTTTTTTGCCTGGCATCAACAGCTGATCTCCCATGCCCAGGAAAGGTTTGTTCACCTGGGCAAACACTAATTGCGGGGAATGTTTTTGAGCGAGAAGATCAACACCTCATAATATTTAGACTGTCCTTTTGGGTTTTTTTCCCTGCAGAAGTGTGGACAGTGAATACAGAATTTGCTCAGGGACATGACACTGATTCAGCTGAAAAGAATAATCCAGAGGAGCTTGTCACTTTGAGACCCCGGCACTAACCCTCCGAAGGAGCCACAAAATGAAACCAGGGAATTTCTTCCGAAAAGCTTATTTCTGTCTTGTGTCTCCTGTTTCATACTTCATATGAAACTGCAAAGTACATATGTAGCTTGGTAGTAGAATACTTGTGCTGAAGCATAAAACATTAGATTATACTAATCATCTACTGAATGCTAATTCACCCTCAAATTATTGTTTTGCAGCTGGCAGAATAGTTGCCTGATAGCTGACACTGGAGAAGTATGCCATCAAACAGACGGTATTTAATGGGGGGGGGGCAGAAAGGAAAGAAAAAGCACAACTTTAGTTTTTCGGTTATTGAAACACTAACCATAGGGCATCAGAAGTTTTCCCCAATTCCCTAGCAGTCCATGCTGATATTTGGGATGTGCATTGGGCTGAACAGATGCATCCCTGTTTCACACCCCACAAGATTTGTTCATGTTCAGGTTTGTGGTAACTTCCTTTGGATTTTGAGGATCAGCCTTGATTTCGTGGTCCCAGGAGGCCCCAGGAGGCAAGGGGTAGAGTATCCCGGGCAGAGCAGGCCTGCTCCTGTGTCTGGGCAGGAAAGCCTCGTCCAGAGAGGTGGCACCACTCTCTCCAAATGCTTTTTTTGCCCCCATAAGGGCTGCGTTAACACCCAGTTCAGTTTTGATACTCGGGGCCTCCAAACTGCACCTGGGCAGATTTTGCAGTCGGGGAGCCAGCGGCAAACAAACAGCACAAAACCTTTTATTCACTTTCATTTGGCGTGAGGAGGTGCAAACTGTGATGGGAAGCTGCATCCTGATTAATTAAGACAGGAGACCTGTCCCTGGCCAGTCCCCCAGGCAGAAGCAGGGCCACCGCGCTCACGCTGCCTGCTGCTACCAGGGGGGGCTGCGGGAAATCACATCAAGTTTGTCATTAAAAATAAAGCTATCCCATCTTCTCCCTGGGTCTTCCCTTCTCCTTTACACAGTGCTCATCAGCTGTGCTAAAAATGACTTTCTAATACTTGGGATACTGAATATGTGACAGACAGATGGTTCCAGTGTTTTATTTCCTTTCAAATCCCGCCCCCTCCCCCCCCATCTTCATGCTTTACCCACAGCACTGGCATTTTAGGTTTTTCAGCATATGAATAGAATGAAGATGTACTTTACAAATTAAAGTATTTGTACACATCCAACGTGAACCTTGTTTCTTACCTGCCTTCTCATTCACATTATCCCCTCATTATTAAAAATTCAGTCTCACTACTTCAAAATCATATTTAAAAATACGATTCCAGACCATGCCTTGGAAAATCATGCAGTCAGACATGAACTAGACAAATATGCAGGGGAACACTGGATAGTATTTATGTACCAGCTGTCAGCACTGATGGATTTGGGTACAAGTTAAAGGACTCGCAAGCTTTAATAAAGTGGCATTCACAAGCGCTACTTCATTTACATAAAAGATGTTTTATCATGAAGTCCATGAAAAACACCTTAAAAAGGCAAAAGAATAGTCTTAGAAACTTCACAGAAGGCTTCTCCTCACCCCCATCACTGACTGCAGAGGGGATTGTGTGCATGGTGCACCCTGCACCCCAGAGCCGAAAGGGCACCCCAGGGCTCTGGTAAGATTCACCCACAGTCCCTGAAGGTTACTGGGCTCCGTGGAGGTTTCTGAGATGTCTGTGAGCGCGCAGGAGCCCAAGCTCGCTTCTCCAGAGCAGCCAGAGCCGCAAGAGGGCAGAAGAAGGTTGGTCGCCATCAAGTGTGTCGGCACAGCATGTAGACAGCAGGCAGCGGCTGTGAAACGCAACTCTTGGCATGCTCCAGTGGGCCAGGGAGACACTTCTAATCTTCTCCAATTTCCCCCTTGTCTCACTATGTTTTGGGGACCTTTTTGGCAGTGATAGCGAGATGGGTACAGTCAACCGTGAAGTGCTGGTGCTGGGTGAGATGCACTTGGACCTGCTTCTCATCCAAATGCTATGAAAAGAGTTTCAACCATTTACTGTAACAGGAAAATCTAACGGGCTCTTCAAAAACAGTGAAACCAGCACGGACATTCAAAGCAAGTGTTCAGCTACTCATTTGAGATTTATCACAGAAGAGACCATGATACAAGCGCATCAACAGTCATGCAGCTCTGCCCTGTACAAATCCACTATCATCTGACCTTTTTTATGTCGAAACCACTCCCTACCCCTGACTTACCATTTGAAACTGGAATGGAATGGCTGTATTCTTTGGAACCCAATGCCCATGCTCTCAGTTCATCCAAGCTCTGCCCTGGAGGGAGCCACAACCACCCTCACTGCCCCGGGAAGACGAGCGGAGAACTTGCACAGCTTGCACGCCACCTCATACACCCTTCCTGGGTGTTTGGGGATCCCAGTGCTCCCCACCTGCCCCTCTCTCCACTTGCACAGACGACTAATCAGTGTCCAAACTCCTTCCCCGACTTTCCATGGTATTAACTATCAAACTGCTTTAATACTTTCTGATTACTGACCTCAGCTTCGCACAAAAGCTACTTACCTGATCTTTAATCACAGTCCAACATGGGCTGCTTTATTATTATTATTTTTTTCATTTCATATCTGGCTACAATAGATAATGCAATATGATTGCAAACATTTAAGACGTAATTACTTAAGCCCCGTTCCCATGCTAGAGGGAGGCACTGTTATTCAGGCATAAGGAAACACTGAAACAGAGATTATGACAAAAAGGTCCTTGGAGTCAGGGCTACGAGCCAGCTGCTGTGCCTCCTGGTGCAGAGATTTAAAGGAACAACTTAAATCTCCTGATCTCAGTTTTATTTGAGCTATTACTTATATTCCACACAAAGCTGGGAAAGACTGACTGGAAAATATTTTTAAGTCTTAATAGCATCCATAGGTTGAAGGCAAACTTATCAACAAACAGAAAGGGCATGCTGAAATTCTGCTGTTAAAATACTGTAAGAAGATTGTAATCCTTCTACCACTTTCCAATTTTCTTTGCTCATTATGTCTTGGGTAGATTAAGCATGACTCTGTACAGTATCTGGCACCGAAGTTTTTCAGTTTCAGCAGCTTTTCAAATATGCATTAGCTAAGCAAAAATGTTTTCCCAAGGACTCATAAAAATCTGAAAGATGGGAGCAGCCAAGATTACAACATGTGGTCTGCAAACTTTCCAGGTGAAAAGTTCTACATTGCACTGATCAATGCGCAGAGGGGATTAAAAAACCCATCACGAGGAGGGTAATCATTGACCGAGCACGAACACAGCAGTCAATACCAACAGCAAACCCTGTGCATTTTTTCGGTATAACTGTACTCAGTGTGACAGATCATAAAAGCAGAATCCTGCAGGGATTTAATCAAGAAATCCAAAACAGTAGGTGTAATGATTTAGGGAATCTGTCAATTTATGTAATCTTCTCATCCTGGGGATTCATGTATTTGTATGTATTCATCAGATTGCGACTCCATTCTGAACATCATGTTCTGTATATCTGCTGTCTTTTTAACAGAGTGTTAAATTCCCGGTGATACTAGTAAGAAATCACAGGGATGGGGCTGGAATAGTTCTCAGGAGGTCACCTGGCACATCTGCCTTCCCAGAGCAGGGCTAATTCTGCCAACACACTCCTGAGGGTTTACGGTGTTACCCGACTGTCAAAGTCCCCAGTGATGAGGATCACACACCTTCCTATAGAATCTAATCCAGTACCTCACTCACACACCAAGTTTTTCCCAGGACCTACCCTGAACCTCCCCTGCCACAAATGCAGCCAACTATGTCCTGTTGTATCCAGCAGGGACCTAGAGATCATGCTCCCCTGTCCTCTTCATTGTTTCTCATCTTCATACTTGAACGCTATTGACATATTTTCCATGGACTTCTCTAGATTAAACAACCAAGGAAGTATTAAGTATTCCCATACTGACAGTGTTTTCTAGGTCTTAGATTTGCATTGCTTTCTTGTAGACCTTCCACAGTGAACTGGTGTCTTTTTGGAAGTGCAATGCCTCACATGAAGGTGGTGTATCACCTGAGGCTTTACTCATGCTCTGTAGATTACTACATCTGTCCAACATGCAACACCTGCTATAACTCAACATGACTGTCTTTGTTTTCTCAACAACATAACACCATAGATCTAAGCAATTTCGCCACACTGCCCAGATGCTTCCTGGCAGAGTAACTATTTTGTCAGTCGTCCTCCACCTCAAACCAGTGCAGCTGATTATTCCCCAGCACTGAACTTTGTGCTTTTCCTTTCTGAACCACATCCCATGTTTCTTAGAGACCATTTTCCCAGTCCATAAAGACCCTTCAGCAGCCTGACACACATGTCGAGCAACTTCTCATTCCCCTCCAGCGTGAAGGCTGATGGTCCTCCACTCACACAGGAATCCCATCAGTCAGGGAGATGACTATCCCCCCCCAAGGCAAGCCAGTCTGCTACCAAATCTGAACTCCTGCAAAAAAGTACTTAAGTAACAGGCCCTCCAAGAAGCGGACTTAGATAGTTTGATCCAGTACATCGGTGGTCACTGATGACTGGGGCTGGTGATGCCCACCAAAGGGCTGTCTTGACATGTGACAACATGTGGGTAGGAAGGGGCAAGGTGCGTTGCAGGATCTTTGGTCACCTTAAGGAGGAGAATTTGGGTCCACGTACAAATGATACCCCCGAAGCAGCAGGGAAGAACTGAATCACCTTCTGCTGGGGCACTCTCTATCCACAAACTCTTAGTGGCCTTAGTGGCACACCTGGACACAGCCTCCGGCTCCAACACCTTACCCAGTTTTCATCGGGACTTGTCAACCCTCACCGCCACAACGTGCAGCAGGCTGCAAGCTGCAAAGCTCAAGGCTCTCACCTCACATTAGAGCAACACAGAGTGAGTCAGAAGCTGGCTTCCCGGGAAGCCTGAAAGCTCCATCATGGGTACGTAGACTGGGACAAAGCACCCATCAGCGTAATTCCCTGAGCTTATTTTTTTTTTTTTTTTAATATAATGATTTAGAAGCAAAGCCTCAGTTCATCTGGGGAGAGAACTGAGAGAGCAAGAACAGAAATTAACTAATGAGAGCGCAGTAAGAGACCCACTGCTTTTGGCCATGTGCTACCAGCCCTTCTGAATGAGAACCCATTGAAAATGGTATAATAGAGGCCTGTAGCAAAGCCAAAACAATGGAATAGCAGCTCTTTCTCAAGCCCTTTGACCATACTGGCAGAGAAATGTGATTAAGATTCACATCAAGAAGCACAGACATTTTCCACTGCATAAAGACAGCCATGGGAAAGCTCTCTCTGAATTAGTGTTGATGGGTACCTTCGAAATAATGCAGATAGTTATTTCCAACCCAGATTCAAAGATGTGTTTTCCAAGCTTACCATTTTAAGCTAAAAAAAAACCCCAGGAATTTGTTTCCTGGAGCAGGAACACAAGCTGTGCTGAAATTAAGTGTCTCCATCACACGTGCAAGTCCCCAAAAGCCCCAAACCGGTGGTGCAGAACTGCCACACCAGCACGTCCAACTCAGGGCAACAATTTCATGTTTTTCAGCCTGGAGTAGCGGCTGGAAATCTGAGTGCTTCTGCCAAGCCCTCAGGTCTGCACACTGAAATAGCAATCTCAGGAGATCGAGCTCTCGGCTTTTTCAGCACTCCTGCCTCGGGATGCAGGCCAAGTGGCCATGTCCATAATCCTTCTGGTGTGCTTCTGGCCATCAGCCTTGGCCAGAACTTGAAACAGAAGAGAAGTGAGGAGTTAAGCTGAGCATATCTGCCCATTGAAGAAGAATCTGCTTCTTAAACCACAACATTTCAAGTATGATATATAGCTGTGCACCAGCTATACCCGTTCCTGGCTGACTCAGCTATTCCCACCACTCTTGAAGCAGATGTAATAAAAAAGCACAGGTACCTGGTGGCTAGCAGGGGGTAGGTATGCAGAGGGCTGAACCAAGCTTCCTTCATCCGCGGCATGCTCTCATATATTAAGAGGTCTTTCTCCGTCAAGACCACTAACACTGGCTTCCAGTGCTTCTCGTTGTCTCCTGGCACCTGAAAAAGAGCAAAGTCTCAGTGAAACAACAAGAGACAAAGCTGCCATTGTGCAAAGCCTGACGATACGAGTATGTCGAGTCCTGGGTGAAATAACGAACAAAAGAGAGTTTTACTTCTTTGGCTTTTTGACATCTCCTCCCTTAATTTATAACCGGCTGCAGCAGAAAGGGAGTAAAGTGCAATGACATCTGCTGCTCTCGTTAGCACTGCCATTTCCAGCCCCCTGCGCAGCCTCCCCTTACCACAGGCTACTCCATGAATCCAGTAGTGGAAGAACACCGAGACAGAGCTGGCTGTTACTTACCTGTGGTATACATGAAAGGAGTTTAAATGTATATTTATAATGTGCACCATTCACGTGTAACTGGCGCATTAACCTGAGTGCTGGATGCTACTGCTGCGTTTAGGAGTGAAAAAAGCTGCAACATCATCACTATTAAAGAGTATCAGGTAGTAAAAAACAGTGGTTTGGCAGCAGATACTTTTTTCCTCAGCAGTTCACGTTTTCATTGCTTCTCCTTCCTTCATATCATTCTTTCAGTTTTACAAGTGCCAATTTGTACAGAGATCCAACCTAAACATGGGCTTGATCTGAAGCACTGACTCGGTGATAGATCTCCATCTACATTTCAGACCCATCTGGAGAAGACGTCTGAAGTCTGGGGCATCAGAGCCCTTTATTGACTGCAGAATCCAGACGTGGCATTATATTTTTCAGGTTAGACATGTGGTCATCCACAAGGCTACACAATTACTGTTATGGGGATCCTGGTTTTTACTTATTCTACTCTGGCAGCAGAGAAGTGTCTTAAAGTAGATGGGAATATGAAAGGGTCTTAGTTTCAAGTAAGAACGAAGCTCTTGTCTTTCACAGACAGATTCATCATTTTCCTTTTGGTGCACATAAAGAAAAAGAAACCCTGTTACGCAGTAACACTCACAGCCATGCTTTCAAACCCAAATGTCTCAGCTGGGTACTAACGGGAATAAAACAAATTCTGAGATTCACCAGAGAATATGGTTGTCTACACGATTCCTCATTAAAACCTTCTCCAGGAAAGAGAAGCAGTTGCCTATGCTGTTCTATGGTTGATGCCACAGGGCTCATCACTGGGTGGAGAAACACATAAAAAGGATCAATCAAAGGTTGGCCAGGCTGGGCATGGCACAGCCAGGAATGGGGATTCAGATCCTTAAGTACGACGTGATGGATTCGGATTGAGAACCACATTTGAAACACTTGTATTTTATATCAGGACAGGGTCCCACAAATTTCTAAAACTTTTAAGGACTTTCAAGACGGCTGTAAGATAGCTTCACACCACAACACCAAGGCAGATCTTAAACTAAGATTTTTGGAGTGCATAATTTTTAAAAGGTATTTTTCCTTCTGAATTAAGCTCTTCTAATAACCATATTCCTGTTTCAGCAGTATTTAAAGGTTTTAAAATCAGCTCATTGGCTGTTCATGTCTCTGTGTTAATCAACTTAAAGTCATAAATGGTTCATCCTTTTAATTTCTTTAGAAGTGTCAATACTTATTTACAATTTTCTTGTGGTGACAGTTTCTTGAAATGCAACCTTTCATTTTCAAATAGGGATGAATAGTGAAGCCGCATAATTAACACACCTGTTAATAGACTCCCGAAAGAATGCAAAATCCAGAGTTCTCACAGCCCATGTACCATGGAAATATTCGCATGAGCAAAAAGCATTCTCAGCTTCTTAATACCACAGTTATTAACTACAGTTAACATCCCAGTTCCTAGCATGGGAATATAGAAATAAATGTTACGGTTAATGTTAACATTTAATTTTTGAGCACCTGCCTGTGTTCTTTAACTAGAAGGATTTTAGTACGTACTTTTGAAGAATTCCAGAAAAGAAAAAGGAAAATAAATATGAAATCTCTCAAGGGATGAAAAAGCAGGATGTTCAGATCCTTAACCTGGAAGAGTAAACAGGCAGCATACTAGGCTCTTACTTCTTTTTCAGTGCTGTGGCCACAAGCAACCCAAAGACTATGGGAAGCTGCTCACAGCTTTTCTGCAGAACCATCCTGCCAGTGCAGCGTTTCCAATCACAAGCTTTGCTATCGGGTGGCTGGTCAGTCAGCCGTGACTCCAGAAAATTTGGGGAACCGCTGTTCCCTGTAACGCAACTAGAAGAAAGGGAATAAAACTCATTTTGCCAGCTGGTCCCACAACTATTTGCTGGACAGCCGTAAACATCAGAAGCCAGAATTTCCTGCACAGTGAAGCACACAGCTTTGCCCCAGTCCTTCCCAATAGCAGGGTGACTAGGGAGAAGATGTGGCATGGTCCTAAGATATTAAAGACTTTTTCTCAAGTATATATGACCTTATGCCACATCTCCTTGTAGGATGCATCCCCTATTTTAGGGTGTATACTGGGAAGGGGAGAGAGGAGAACGAAGTTTGCCTGTGTCCTGTTAAGAAGCCCTCCCCAGTAAGAAGGGCCATGCCATACACACACTTCTAATCACATTTTTTAAATCTCACTGGGACCTTAGCCGTCTCACCGGTAAGGAATGCTGGTGTAAGCAATACTGCTGCTATTTCAGACCTGAAGAGGATTTGTGTGCCTGAAAGCTTGTCTGTTTCTTTCCAACTGTAACAGCTGATCTAATAAAAGATACTGCCTTTCCTTAAAAACCTGGAATTGCATTACTGTTCCCTGATTTCGTTGGGGCTTGGATGAGGCTTTAATAGCTGATGCTGTGCTGTTCAACAGGCAGTTGGCACTTCTGGAAGGTGTCAAAGAGAACACGCTATCCCGTAAATGGTAATAGCGAATTTTACAAAGGAAGAAGAGAGGCTGCAAATATACCACTAGCCTACGGGGCACGTTCAGAACAAATCAGCATAGGAAATTAATCCAGATCAAGCAAGTGTCATACCAAGCATGAGTATAATAGCAAATCACAAAACAAAAGCAAAAAGCATGTTGCTTACAGGCAGCTGAGTAACGGATTTGTTCAAATTTTAACGGTTTTAAAATCTGACGTATCACAAACAGAACATGAAATACTTCTCTAAGAATCCATTTAAGTATAATTTGAGATACATTTGAGAAGCACCCTTTCAGACGACAGTTAGTGCCAGCTTCTTAGTCAGAATTTTGCAGAAATCTAGCACTTGTGCTACAGTTTCTTTGTTCCCGTTCCCACTTGCACACATACAATTCAAAGTGCATTGATATGTGTTGCAGACAAGTAAAATCGCCACCCACTCGAAAAAAAACTTTTCCAACTCAACCCCTTTTCAAAGTTAAAAATGTTAGATCAAATCTAGGTGAATTAGAGAAAAGAAAAATCAGTACTCCTCAAACCTCCCACCGCAATAAAATGAATCAGCACATTTTTGGCTGGTCTTCTGGGCACTGTTCAGGTAACTCCAAGCAACAGGCACCAATGCCCCCTCTCCATGCTCACCTCATCTCAGCTGAGGTCACTGCTCAGCTGGTGAAATTCCACTTCAAGACAATGGAGCTGTAAATGTTTATACCAGAAGCAAACTTGTTTTTTTTCCCTTTCCTAGACACACTGTGCCTCTAGATCAAAGTCTTCAAGTACAAACCTGAAAAGGGAGAACATATTCTAACAAAAACACCCCGAGTGTGGTGAAACATCCTTTTTGCTACTCGCAAAGCTCTTTGCTCCTCATATACTCACCCCATGAAGTGCAAACCCCACTTTTTCCCATATGCACCTCTCTGGTTTTTCTTTCCAAAGTCAGAAAATATTTCCTGTATAGCAGGGATGAAACTTGTGTACAACAAGGTGATGACTGGGCCTGGGCTCACACCAGAGGAGACCTGTGTTCACGTCTTGCTCAGCCACAGCCTTCCTCTGCAAAGTCAGTCTAAATGCTCTGTGTACAGACACCGCGGTCCCTGCCAGGACGGCAAGTGCTGCTGTAACACGCACAGTACAGAGTATAGACATAAATGTGAAGGAGGACAAGAAGTGCCAAGGATGGCCGCTGTGTTTCAGCAGAGAGGAGACTTGCCCATCAGCCTTTGGCTCACACAAGAGCAGAAGTGCTTCGATGCAGAGAGCAGACGGCTCACACAGCGTTAGGACACACCAGATCCCACCACACTGGGGATGCGCCTGAGCTCTCTCTGCTTCTGGATGCCTTTGCATCGGTGGGGCAGCATCGGTCCAGGCTTTGGTTTAGGGCCAGACCTGCGGTCTGAAAGACTGACTCTGCAAATAACAACATAGCAAGCTCAACGCCACCTGTATGACTGCTCCTGCTGGTTTTCTGGCAACTGCTCGTGTGCTTAAGGCCACTGCTTGCAATGTGCCCTTAAAGAGTAACTCCTCTGATATGTAGCAAACAATATCTCAAAGAGGAGCCAGCTTGTTTTTCCTGTAGGTGATGGGGACCTCTGGCCCCTTTAATGGGTGTCACAGCTTCCAAATCTTTAATAGTTTTCACATATAATTAGTTGCCGTAAAGACAACGGGCATCTCAGTGGAGATAAATCCTTTTAAAAACCATTTGTCCCTTTGTTCTTTCATCTGCCAGGTCTCCTTTTCATAAAGTTTTTCTTTGAATTTCAGTTATTCATCCACTTCATGCTGCCAGGAATGGATGAAAGAATACTTTTAATCTATGAGGCTCACAGATAATTAAATTAGAGGCCTCAGTCTTCTCTGGAAAGCTGTTTTGTATTTTCATTAACTCAAAAGGGACATTTCAATTACATTCCCTGGTTAGTAAACAAATTATATATTGCCAGCAGACTCCACTGCAGCAAATATCCAAAACGTGGCCTTTCAGAGAATTGCTGTGAATGTAGCAAGTTTACGATTACAGTAAGTGGTTCAACCCCCTTTCCCATCACCCCCTCCCAAATCCCGGAGCTATACTATCCCCTCACACAGAGCACAGGAGGAGCAACCAAGAAAGAATCTTCTGAAACTTTTTTCTTGTTATTTTCCCTCCTCCCTCACTTTAAATCTCTCCG